TGGACACAACATCTGCCGGGCTGATTGGTGAAAGGAGAAGAGAGTTTGGATAGCTGCCTGAGAGATATGTGTTAATATGTGTCTGAGTCTGTGGGATTTTACTGGCAAGATTAGCACCAACCGATGAAAAGAAACTATTAAATTCATTTGCCATTTCTAAATCAGTTGACAGTATATCCCCATCCTTGTAGAGTTTTATTTGGTTATGTGAGTGTTGTTTAGTTCCTAGGATACTAGAGATAGTTTTCCAAGTGCTAATTACATGTTTATACATTTGAATGGTCCAGACAGGTGGCCAGCCTTGGACATATACACTTCTGGTAGGCACAATGACCTCATGTTAGACCCTTAATAGATTATGTGAGAGAGAGAGCTGGGGCAGGGAGGTGCGTGCCCCAGGGAGATAATCCATGCCCATGCCCCGCCTCGAGGTCAGTTCTCGAGTCACACCAAGAATAACAATCGAGCAAGTTGTCCTGACCAGGATGTGGCATATTAGGGAGGGTTGAGGAATAGGAATCCTGTCTGATAGGGCTCTTGGCAAGCAGCTCTCCCTCAGTCTACCTATCTATATGGAAGAAATGTATCTAGGCCCTCCTCCCCCCTGCCTATTCTCTCTCCCCCACCTTTCTTCCTTCATTTCCTCCCTCCTTCCCTCCCCCTCACTGGTGAGAGAGTAGGAGTGTGAGAGTGGTTAGAGAACTCGTAGTTCTCACGCTCGTGAAATTGTCTGCGACCCTGGAGGAGTAGAGCGGAGGGGGGGGGTGAAAGTAGGTGACGATGGAGGAGTAGAGGGGAGCATTATATGCAGTGAACGTAGGTGTCTATGGAAGAGTACATCATAGAGGAGGGTGAAAGGAAGGTGACGATGGAGGAGGAGAAGGGAGGGGGTGTGAAGGTAGGTGATGATGGAGGAGTAGAGGGGAGGAGGGGGGCAAAGGTAGGTGTCTATGGAAGAGTACATCATAGAGGGGGGTGAAGGTAGGTGGCGATGGAGTAGAGCAAAAGGGGTGGGGGTTGAAAGTAATCCTGAGTTTAATTTTTTAGTTATATATAGTGACACCTCGGCTTACGAATGAATATTTATGAACTTTTCGGGTTACGAGCCTAATTTCTTCGAAAAATTTGAATCGGGTTACAAACTTTGCCTCGGGAAAGGAGTTTGTTGATATACGTATGGGCTGACCTAGCGCGTGGTGGCATGGTGATCGCGCCTCAGTTTACCAGTGTCTCCTGCCTAGTAAGTATCGCGCCTGAATTCTTTGTAAAGCATTACATTTGTTTTGGGATTTTTGGCTATTTGAACATAAAATTTGTTATGATATATCTTGCCATGAGTCCCAAGAAAGCCAGTGGTAAGGTTCAAGCCAAGAAAACACATGTGAGAATGACCATAGAGGAAAAACAAGAGAGCATTCATAAACATCAAAATGGTGCACAGGTTGTTGAACTAGCTAGGCAGTACAACAAATCTATGTCAACAATATGCACTGTACTTGCTAAGAAAAAGGACATTATGAGCATTAAAGTGGCAAAAGGCATATCAACAATCCCGAAACAAAGAACACAAACACTTGAGGATGTTAAAAAGTTTTTATTAATTTGGATACACAACAAGGAGTTAGCAGGTGATAGCATTTCAGAGGCCATCATTTGTGAGAAACCAAGGCATTTGCATGAAGACCTTTTAAAGAAAACCCCTGGAACGAGGGGGGGGGGGGAAAAGATGAATCAAGTTTGAAAATGTGAAAAGTTTGTGTGACAATAGAGCCTCGTGGAAAACTTTTGCTGTGGTCATTACCTGGTGGAATGCACCCAGGATGGAGTATTAGGGCTATACATCTTTTAAATCATAAAAGTAATAAACATTTCCCATCAACCTTACAAACAATATTAACCTATTTTCATGTATTTCCCCCATGTGCATTTTAACAAAGTTGCTAAATTGCCTTTATCATTCTGTAAAATTTCAATTACAGTACTGTATGTATAATTTTGTTAGTATAAATGGACTGAATATTCTGAAATTGCTATTAATTTTACAATTTCAGATTCAAAGGTGGTCTGGACACCCAATTTGGTCAGACAGGTGAAGAGAGCATTTAGGATAGTTCGAAGAGATGAAGATGGTCGCAATTGTGTTCGAAGAGGCAAACGCCCCCCTTTGCTCCTGACATTATGTTCAACCATTGACCTCTGCACACCTAACACAAGGTAGGTTGAAAACTCCTCCTTCATGTCATTGGTACATTAGCCAGAAACTCAGGGCTCATGTAGGAATATCCCTAAAAAAAAAAAAGTGGCCCCAACAATGCATCCTCCAAGTCTGGAGGATGAGCAGGAGCATTGTCGAGAAGCAGGACCTTGAGTGTCAAACTTTTCTCTTGCAGATATTTTTTGATGGCAGGGCAAACCACTCCACATCACAGTTTTTCTGCACGTTATATATTTTTTAAAACTCTTGGATTTTCGGAATGATACACGAGCAAGGGTTTAATTTTCAAATCGCCACACAGCACAAGAGTTAGCCTATCCTGACACAAGTTAGCCCAAGTTAGCTTGTGTCCGGGCAGTGACGTCTCCTCTTGGGTAATGTATGTCCTCTTCGGCAATTTTTTCCAGAATAGCTATGTCTCCTCACAATTAAACACTTGTTGTGGAATGTATCCATCAATACAGCACAGTGTATCTACAAAATTTTAATTTTTTACTTATATATAGTGTCACCTCGGCTTACGAATGAATATTTATGAACTTTTCGGGTTACGAGCCTAATTTCTTCGAAAAATTTGAATCGGGTTACAAACTTTGCCTCGGGAAATGAGTTTGTTGATATGCGTATGGGCTGACCTAGCGCGTGGTGGCATGGTGATCGCACCTCAGTTTACCAGTGTCTCCTGCCTAGTAACTATCGCGCCTGAATTCTTTATAAAGCATTACATTTGTTTTGGGATTTTTGGCTATTTGAACATAAAATTTGTTATTATATATCTTGCCATGAGTCCCAAGAAAGCCAGTGGTAAGGTTCAAGCCAAGAAAACACATGTGAGAATGACCATAGAGGAAAAACAAGAGAGCATTCATAAACGTCAAAACGGTGCACAGGTTGTTGAACTAGCTAGGCAGTACAACAAATCTATGTCAACAATATGCACTATACTTGCTAAGAAAAAGGACATTATGAGCGTTAAAGTGGCAAAAGGCATATCAACAATCCCGAAACAAAGAACACAAACACTTGAGGATGTTGAAAAGTTTTTATTAATTTGGATACACAACAAAGAGTTAGCAGGTGATAGCATTTCAGAGGCCATCATTTGTGAGAAACCAAGGCATTTGCATGAAGACCTTTTAAAGAAAACCCCTGGAACGAGGGGGAAAAAGATGAATCAAGTTTGAAAATGTGAAAAGTTTGTGTGACAATAGAGCCTCGTGGAAAACTTTTGCTGTGGTCATTACCTGGTGGAATGCACCCAGGATGGAGTATTAGGGCTATACATCTTTTAAATCATAAAAGTAATAAACATTTCCCATCAACCTTACAAACCATATTAACCTATTTTCATGTATTTCCCCCATGTGCATTTTAACAAAGTTACTAAATTGCCTTTATCATTCTGTAAAATTTCAATTACAGTATACTGTATATAATTTTGTTAGTATAAATGGACTGAATATTCTGAAATCACTATTAATTTTACAATTTCAGATTCAAAGGTGGTCTGGACACCCAATTTGGTCAGACAGGTGAAGAGAGCATTTAGGATAGTTCGAAGAGATGAAGATGGTCACAATTGTGTTTGAAGAGGCAAACGCCCCCCTTTGCTCCTGACATTATGTTCAGCCTATTGACCCCTGCACACCTAACACAAGGTAGGTTGAAAACTCCTCCTTCATGTCATTGGTTCATTAGCCAGAAACTTAGGGCCCATGCAGGAATATCCCTAAAAAAAAAAAAAAGTGGCCCCAACAATGCATCCTCCAAGTCTGGAGGATGAGCAGGAGCATTGTCGAGAAGCAGGCCCTTTAGTGTCAAACTTTTCTCTTGCAGATATTTTTTGATGGCAGGGCAAACCACTCTACATCACAGTTTTTCTGCACGTTATATATTTTTTAAAACTCTTGGATTTTCGGAATGATACACGAGCAAGGGTTTAATTTTCAAATCTTAACATTACTATTTCCATAATTTTTATTTTTAACCCTTAAAGAGCAGTTATCATATGATAATTCACGGGATAATGCAGTTATCGTCATATGATGATTTAAACTACAGCATTTCATTAATTTTACACATATGATGCAAATAAGTGACTATTTCACTATTAGTAATCCAATTAAAAATTTTTAAGATTGTCTTAATTTTGGAATTGCTGTATACACAGAGTAATCACACTATTGTGATGCATAAATGAGCAAATCTGTAGGAGCTGGAACACCCAGTGCATAGGTTCGAACCCTCTTCACTGCTCCTACGGATTTAATAATTGCTGCATGATTTGCTTTAAAAATGCATCTTTTTAATGAACAAATCCACTAAGGGCTGTGACGAGGGTCTGAACCTATGCCTGGGATGTTCCCAGCTGCACCTTAGTCAACTGTGCCACGACATGGTTAAAAGAATTGCAACCTGGAGTGCTACTGCCCTCACTAGGATCCCAAAGCTACTCCAAAGCCCAATTGGGTTTTCACACAATTTCCCCATTTACCCGGGCTCTGTCAACCAAATGTTCTACCTCTACGCCCTGACTTCAATACACACACAAATTACAATAACATGATATATCTAATGAACAAATTTGATCTAGAGCCTCATCACGGCTCTTGTGGATTTGTTAATTTAATATCATGCTATTGTGATTTCAGTGTGCATCTTTTTCCTCATGGAATTTGCATTTCACAGGCAAGAAGGGAAAGTTAGTATTCATGAAGAATTGACTTTTTTTTTTTTTTTTTCTTAATTATTCCTTTATTATTTGTGTTCTTGTTTCTTTTATGATTCAGACTGCACTCAGCAAAGAAGAAAACCTCATCGCTGAGTGCCGGTATGCTGCCAGCGCAGGAAGTCTAATTGTACACATAGTCTTGATTTACCTCATGGTCCGATGTTATCGAAACTTTGGATTAGGACTAAAAGAAAAAGGTAAGGTTTGATTGTTACTACAGTACTTTTTCCCAAACAAAAAGATTACTTAAGCAGAAGATAAAAAGCAAATAAATGCATTTGAAAGAAAAATTAAACAATAGTTAGTGAAAAAACAGGAAAGCACAATTTAAAGGAAATAAGAAAGTTCAGTAAAAGGACTGATGGAAAAGTGTTTGGAATGTTAAAGATATAAGTGAGAGCATATGATCAGTAGTAAAAGGGAAATTATAGGTATCTGGAGAGACAGTACAGTACAGTCCTCTAGTTTGAAAGTTTAATTACCATTATTGACAAGAGGTGCAAATGTGAATAGGATTTGATTTGGTGGTATAAGCAGAGATACAAGTCTAAACAATAAAAGGCAGTTGAGAAAAATAGATGGAGTGGTTCTGGAAAATTTGCCAGAAGACTTGGGGAAGTATTGCTAATGTTACACTCGACCCATGTGTCTGAAAATAAATTGTCGGGGTTTTAGTCCGTCCAAGACCATTATGAAGTTGAGTAAAGAGTGATACTGTAGTCGGTATCTAACATGTATCGGTAAGAATGGAAAGTGTAAGGTGAGAAGGTAGGAAGAAAAACAATGGAATATAGAAAGCTGCAGAAGATGTAATGGCAAAGACTTTCATTTTTGTCTGTTTCACCTCTTTTTTTTTTTCACTATTAGGCCTTCTGCAGTTTTATTTATTCATGTAGTTTCTTCTTGCCTTCTCTACTTTCACTTTGCATTCTTGACTTAATATATTGATTTACTCCACCACTCTGTTTGCTAGACTGAAATGTCATCGCTTCCTTTAGTTTCAGATGTCTGGCTTACTTTTTACAGTATTGTTGTTTCTGATGATTAGAAATGAGCAATGATTACACCTCTGAATAAAAATAAAATAGGAATACTATGAGTAAAAGTTATAGTAATTTGTGTACAAAATGTAGTAGTAAAATTATATGACAGAATAATTGGAATGGTAGAGAAAATAAATGAAATTGAACAGTGGTGAACAAGGTTAGTTGTCTGGTGGAAGAGATTGTGTGGATAAGAGACAGATATGTGAGAAAGATTGTACAGTGCATATAGCCTATATGGACTTGGAGAAAGCATATGCCTAAATTAATAGTATCAGGCCCAGGAAATTGCTGAACTTGTATGGAGTTAGTCAAAATCAGTTAATCCCTCAAAATGCAGTCATAATTTGTTAATGTCCTAGACCAAGTGCTATGGTCAAAGTATTAGAGAAAAAAAGTGAATTTAGTGTGTAGGGTGAATAAATGGAGCACATCAAATTTGATGGATATGTTTACCTGCTTTTCGAACATTGCTGAGAACCAGGTTTGTCCGAATAGTCGAGTCCGCCCTCCTGGATGAGACCCAGGTTTGTCCGAGTCTGCCCTCCTGTATGAGACCCTGGTTTGTCTGAATAGTCGAATAGTCGGGTCCGCCCTCCTGGATGAGACCCTGGTTTGGGTCCGCCCTCCTGTATGAGACCCTGGTTTGTCCGAATAGTCGGGTCTGCCCTCCTGGATGAGACCCTGGTTTGTCTGAATAGCGAGTATGCTCTCCTGCTCCTGACAAGTCTACATGTTATGGGCAAAAATTCCTGACAATTCTATACAGATTCACTATACAGTATACTGTAAAGTAAAGGCATGCTAATATAAGAAATGTAGAAATATATTGAATAATAAGGGTGCTGAGAAAGGGTCTAGATGTTACACAGATCATCATTCCAAGACTAAATGTTAAGTTAGATAAGGTTAGGTCTCAGCCTGCACAATTTCAAATTTGGACAAATGCATAAATAGATATTCTCTTAAAGAAAATAGTTGGCCTTCTGGATCTTACACCCTGCCACTTGTATCTGTTTAATTTCACATTTGATTGTACTATTGCCAAAATGCACCAATAAGACATAAATTTAGCCTGGCAGACTACTTCCCTTTTGCTGCATATCATTCTAAGGATGCTTGATTCCACCTCTCTCTGAGTCACTTTCTACTAAAAAAATAAAAACATGTTTCCTCTTGGGGTTTTGCTGCATGTTGGAGTCTTGTTTGATGCATTGTCAACATGTTTTGGAAGCCATGGTGGCAAAATGCTTCAGATTAAAAAAAAAAAAAAAAAAAAAAAAAAAAAATTGTAGAAGAGAGAAGATCTTTAATGGTGCACAACAAAAATGTATTGGGTCGCAGCGGTACTCTTGGCTGTGTGGCACTGTGGTCGGTCATTTGGCAGACAAGGTGTCTACTTGCGTGGGATGGGTCAGGGAGAAATTAATAATGGTACTTTTTAATAATGAGAAATTAGTCAGCAGGATTGGCACTTTGTGCACTCCTTGTTATCGGAAATTATAGATTAGTTGAACATTATTTTGGTGTGTGATGGATGACTGCTAAAAGTTAATGTGAACAAAAGTAACATTTCTGTACATTGGTAGAAAGAGAAGGGAATTGTGAGTATGGGTTTAGTGTGAATGGAGATATGAATGACCTCTTTAAATACAGTACTGTTTAAATTTGTTTGAACAGTATTTTGTAATCATCTTATTCAGCATTTCTTTATACAGTACATTACCTTATAAGGGTTGAAGCAGAAATTACTTAGTATACAGTACTTTATCCTAAAAAGGTACAGTAGATAGAAAAATTATTTTATATTCCCTATTTATTGGTCATATGTTCTTGGACTTTAAATAGTCATTTTTTTCTCGATAAGAAAATCACTCTTTTTAAAAATTAATTTTCAAATACAAACTACAATACATGACTTAAAAAAAACTAGATAAATAAGGAGTTAACCCAGATTTATTTATTTATGCAATACTCTTCTTCCTGTGTTTCAGTATACCCGCGGCAGACCACCACCACTGGAGTGCAAAGCAGTCTGGTTCAGTAATCGTGTGACACAAAATAGTTGTATCAGTATACTTACACTAGTCCTTCAAGTGACTTATTTTACTTATCAAAGTTATAGCTCTTAAGAATAGATATTTTATTATATAAGCAAGGCCAAAGATTATGGAAAACTGTAAGAGAAGTAATATGCAGCAATAGTATGCCTAAGTCATGTGGAATAAATGTTGATATTTTTGTTTTGTTATAATGCTCAAGTTCGAGTGATAGTAATATATATATATATGTATTTTAGATGTTTGAATGATAAGTTTCAGAATATATTTACACAGTTGTTAAGGAGTGAGCAATTGCTTACACAGACCAAGAAGTAACATGTATTATTTTACCAGTTTCAGTGTGTGTGTGTGTACTCGCCTAATTGTGTTTGCTTGCTTTATTGTTGAGCTTTGGCTCTTTGGTCCCGCCTCTCGACTGTCCTACCTAACCTAACCTATCTTTATAGGTTAGGTAGCCGAAAAAGTTAGGTTAGGTTAGGTAGTCGAAAAAAGCATTAATTCATGAAAACTTGGCTTATTAGGCAAATCGGGCCTTGCATAGTTGGCTGACAAGTGTGTTCTGGCTACTAGGTACGACATATATATATATATATATATATGTCGTACCTAGTAGCCAGAACGCACTTGTCAGCCAACTATGCAAGGCCCGATTTGCCTAATAAGCCAAGTTTTCATGAATTAATGCTTTTTTCGACTACCTAACCTAACCTAACTTTTTCGGCTACCTAACCTATAAAGATAGGTTAGGTTAGGTAGGGTTCGGTCATATATCTACGTTAATTTTAAATCCAATAAAAAAAAAATTGACCTCATAATGAAATTGGTAGCTTTATCATTTCATAAGAAAAAAATTAGAGAAAATATATTAATTCAGAAAAACTTGGCTTTTTAGGCAAATCGGGCCTTGCATAGTAGGTTGAGAAGTGCGTTCTGGCTACTAGGTACGACATATATAAATTTATTTATTAAATATAATATAATACTGTAGGTATTTTTCTATCCTTATGAAAATTAGTCTTACACATTTGTTGGACTATTAATGCAAATTTGAACAAATACCTATTGTACCTATTCAAATAGGTATGACCTATTCAAATAGGTACTTTTTCTATCCTTATGAAAATTGTTTTCCACATTTCTTGGAATATTAATGCAAATTTGAACAAATACCTATTGTACCTATTCAAATAGGTACAACCTATTCAAATAGGTACTTTCTACCTATTCAAATAGGTACTTTTTCTATCCTTATGAAATTTTTTTTTCCGCATTTCTTGGAATATTAATGCAAATTTGAACACATACCTATTCAAATAGGTACAACCTATTCAAATAGGTACAACCTATTCAAATAGGTACAACCTATTCAAATAGGTACTTTCTACCTATTCAAATAGGTACTTTTTCTATCCTTATGAAAAATTTTTTTTCCACATTTCTTGGAATATTAATGCAAATTTGAACAAATACCTATTCAAATAGGTACAACCTATTCAAATAGGTACGACCTATTCAAATAGGTACTTTCTACCTATTCAAATAGGTACTTTTTCTATCCTTATGAAATTTTTTTTTCCACATTTCTTGGAATATTAATGCAAATTTGAACAAATACCTATTCAAATAGGTACAACCTATTCAAATAGGTACGACCTATTCAAATAGGTACTTTCTACCTATTCAAATAGGTACTTTCTATCCTTATGAAATTTTTTTTTTCCCACATTTCTTGGAATATTAATGCAAATTTGAACAAATACCTATTCAAATAGGTACAACCTATTCAAATAGGTACTTTCTACCTATTCAAATAGGTACTTTTTCTATCCTTATGAAAAAATTTTTTTCCACATTTCTTGGAATATTAATGCAAATTTGAACAAATACCTATTCAAATAGGTACAACCTATTCAAATAGGTACGACCTATTCAAATAGGTACTTTTTCTATCCTTATGAATTTTTTTTTTTCCACATTTCTTGGAATATTAATGCAAATTTGAACAAATACCTATTCAAATAGGTACGACCTATTCAAATAGGTACAACCTATTCAAATAGGTACTTTTTCTATCCTTATGAAAATTGTTTTCCCACATTTGTTGGAATATTAATGCAAATTTGAACATATATCTACTGTATATTATCTATTCAAATAGGTACTTTTCTATATATCCTTGTAAACACAAGTCTTATACATTTGTGGGAATTTAATAATACAAATTTGTTGATGTACCTATTTATTATCACCATGGGAAGATTCATGGACAACAATGCGAGAGGTAAGGAAAAAGGACTTGCGCGTGCACACACACGCCCGAAACATAACTCCAAGTTTGATGTATTTCTGACCAGGGGGAAAAAGACACAGGCCGAATGGGCTTAAATTTTTTATTAGTAAATTAAATTCTGCAGAACATGTAAATAATATAAGTAGGAATTAACAAATGTAACATGTCCATGTCTGAGGACTAATTAACTTAAAATGTACCCCCGTAGTAGTAAGCATAGCCTAGACATGGCAAACACGTTCTGCAGAAACCTAATGGCAGATGAAATATAATTAGAACTAGGAAAAACAGTCAGGACACAAAGGGGAAATAAAGTGTATAGACAACACTTAACGGAGCCCTACCAAGACATAATGGGAAATCCTAGAATTAACAGGCGGGCAGAAAATACCTAGTGACTGGGGAAAACTGATATGACAAATGGGAGAAGTTTTTCCCAGGGCATGAGGCCGGCCACCAAAGAATAAGAAGTGTTTCCTGATTCTTACTAGCACCTAGACTGGGCAAAGGATTAGCTGCGGACAGCAGGACACTTGGGGACCGGCGCTGCACCCCCCTCCCCACTTGCGGTGGGGAAGACAGGGACACTGGCACAAAGAATGACTGGGAACTACCACTTGCATGAAGGGAAGGCGGGTGGGAGTTACGAGTACTGCGACGGTCGGGTGGAAGTGAGGGAGAGCCCCTCTCTGGCTCAGAATTTATATGGCCCCAGACTTCCCGCGCATCTGCGCGGGGCGCACTGCGCAACTGTTTCTTTGTCCCCCTCTTCAGAAACATCTCCGCTTTGTATTTCAAAGCAGAGGCCATTTTCTGACCAGGGGGAAAAAGAC